CTCACCAGAGATCCTGCTGCTGCCTGTCCGCGCCGCTCAGCGCATCCAAATCAAACCGCCAGGGTTGTCACTGCACTTGCGTATCCAGCTGGGGAGCTCACTGTCCTACACTGGAAGCCCTTCCGTTTGGCGGCCCGTGCGGCCCGGCCGCGGTTTCGGGGTTGAGGACCTCCGCGCGCGAGGCTAGGCGAGGCGAGGCGAGGCGAGGCGAGGCTAGCGGCGCGGCGCTGCCCGTGTGACGACGGGCCGAGCGGGTTGCAGCGACGGCCGCGCGGCACAGACTGAGAGAGACCGCCGACGCCGCGCCTCTCGCCGGCCCGGCTGGCTGGCAGTGGCTTCGGGGGGCGGGGCGGGGCGGGGTGGACCGGGCGGCTGGTGAAGGGGGAAGGGGGGGGCTGCAAGGCAAGACACTCCCTGCCCCTTTCCTTGCCCCTTTCTCGCACGCCAACAACAACATGCCGGGTCCTTGGGTTCTCGCATCGCGGGTACGTCCCTCGCACCGCACCGCGCGGCTGGGCTGCCTCTGCACTGTGCCGCGTCCCCACACTGTCTCTCTCCCCCTCCCCCGCGAGGCGCTGCGAGCGAGAGAGACAGAGCGACGAGAGCACTGCCCGGAATCGCCCGCCGCGGCGCAGCCCTGCGCAGCCCGCTCTCCTCCACTGCAGCACGGCAGCCGAAGCCAGCCGGACCCACAACAACAACCTGCCCGATCCGTAGGTGCGCCGAGCGGGGCCGAGCGGCGCGGCGCCGGCGGCCGGGATCGAACCTGCGTCCAGCGCCTGCCCCGCCCCGCCGCGCCACGCCGGTGCCCAGCCAGCTGACTGCAGCACAAGTAGTCGCCTCTGGACGAAGCTGCGCTGCGCGGACTGATTCCGTGAGTCGTTTTCGTCGCTCTGTCTCTCTCTGCCTCTGTCTGTCTGTCTCTCTCTCTCTCTCTCTCTCTTTCTTTCTCTCTCTCTCTCTCTCTCTCTCTCTCTCTCTCTCTCTCTCTCTCTCTCTCTCTCTCTCTCTCTCTCTCTCTCTCTCTCTCTCACACCTACCGCAGGAGGGCAAGAACGGAGACCAGAAAAGTCAAAGAAGGAAAGTTACGTGGATGCGCCGCTTCGGGTGTCATTGTATCACAGTGTCATCACTGGCTTCCACTGCCTGACTTTCGCTCCAGGGGTCATGAAAACACGCTACTCCTTTAATCATTTTTTTTTGTCGCCCTGTGGCGCGTTTCCTGACGAGGTCCCACAAACTGCCACACGAACCGTCTTCCCCGCCGTCATCACCTGTTGTTCTCTCTCACGCACTTTACCTCCACAGTGATGCGTCGTGGCACTGAAAGCTGGCCAGGCCGGGCGTCCCGAAACTGCGAGGACAAAACGAATCAACTTTCCGTATCGTGTTAGCCAACATTTTGCCATTTTATTACACGCGTAAGAAATCATGGTCCGCAGCACGGCATCCATTTCTTTTTCGTGTGCGTGCGGGAACTTTGCTTCGTCCAGGAGGAGGTCCAGTGGAGCGCGGTTTTTCATACGAGGCGGCTGGAGGCCCTAGCCTCGCGGAAGGCTGCTGCGCCGCGCTCCGAGCTTCCCGCCGCCGCCGCCAGGGCGTGCTGCCGGCGCTCGGCTTGGCGGCGTCGCGCGTAGAGGGCGCTGGCGTGCAGGATCGCGAGGTCTCTCGGACCTGCAGCGTGGAACGCCGGGGCCGTAGGCAACACCTTCGACACCCTAGCCGTGGGGGCTGCCCTGTCGCCGCCTCATGAATGAATGAATGAATGAATGAATGAATGAATGAATGAATGAATGAATGAATGAATGAATGAATGAATGAATGAATGAATGAATGAATGAATGACACTAAAGCACTGAGGCTAAAAGTACAAGCGCAGCGGTCAGTAACGCGAGGAGAGGCGACTTGAAGAAGGCTGACGCTCCGCCGCTGGTCTTGGGAGTGGACGACGACGGGGACCTCGTTGCCGGCGTGGTCGGCGGCGCGGTGGCCGCCGTCGACGTGGGCCTCTCGGTGGCGGGTGTGGCCGGCTCGGGACAGTAGAACGGCTTTGCACCTGGGAAAACGAACCAACTTTCCGAGATGGCAACCCTTTCGACACTGGTGCGCCGCACAGTGAGCCAGAAGAGGTGGAGGCGGCCAAAACTCAAGACGCGTTTTAAGCTGCAGAGTCGCTAAATGGGACTCGAAACGAACATGTGACCCCACCAATGGATTCCTCGTTCGGAGAGCAACCCATTGGTGGGGTCACACGTTCGGTTCGAGCCCCATTTAGCGACTCTGGAGCTCAAAATGCGTCTGGAGTTTCGGCCGCCTCTACCGGTCTTCTGGCCCACTGTGCGTCGCGGGCGAGCGAGGGACTCGGCAGCGGCTCTACCCCGTGCCGGGCGACTGTGCGCCGCGGGGTATCGACGCACCTGTGGCGCGTAGGACGACGTTGCCGGCCTGGCCGAGCACCTTGAGCACGGCGCGCTCCTTGTCCAGCGGCACGCTCACCACCGCGCCGGCCTCGTCAGCCTTGGCGCCGTCCAGCCAGAACTGCATCTCCGCCTCGGAGCACCGCGACACCACGAACACGCGCTGCTCGCCCGCCACGAACGACGAGTTGGTCCACTCGGGCTGCGGGAAGGGGGAAGGTGAACGAACGGAAGCAGCCGTCTTTAGTGACTTTTGCACAGTAGGCCAGAAGACCGGTGGAGGCGGTTAAAATCCCGAGCGCGTTTTGAGCTCCAGAGTAGCTGAGTGGCACTCGAACCGAACGTGTGACCCCACCAATGGATTGCTCTCCGAACGAGGAATCCATTGGTGGGGCCACACGTTCGGTTCGAGCCCCATTTAGCGACCCTGCAGCTCAAAATGCGTCGAGAGTTTTGTCCGCCTCCACCGGACCTCTGGGCCACTGTGCGGTGTGACAGTCTTGGCCTACCTGTTCGATCCACTCGCTGAGGCCGGTGAGCTGGTTGCGCAGCAGGGACACCGCCGTGCCGTACCGCAGCCGGCCGTCCTGGTCCAGGCCGTACACGGCCACGTAGGAGCAGCTCTTGGCGCCGCACAGCCCCACCGTGGCCATGCCCGGCCCCGTGGCGCAGAAGTGCACGGCCAGCTGGTCGCCGACCGCCATGGCGTGCCCGTCGGTCACCTGGCCCGGGACCGCGGAGCCTGCGGGAGGCAGGGGGTATTCACGAGCCTGCCGGCGCTCAGTGGGCCAGAAGACCGGCAGAGGCGGTCAAAACTCCAGACGCGTTTTGAGCTCCAGAGTCGCTAAACAGGACTCGAACCGAACGTGTGACCCCACCAATGGATTCCTCGTTCGAAGAGCAATCCATTGGTGGGGTCACACGTTCGGTTCGAGTCCCGTTTAGTGACCCTGGAGCTGAAAACGCGTCTAGACTTTCGGCCGCCTCCACCGGTCTTGCGGTGCCCCGGTGATACTCCGCGCGCTGAACCTTGCCTTCTCCGAGCAGCACGGCCGAGCCGGCCTGCGACAGCACTTTGAGCTCCGTCTCGCCGGGCTGCGGCGCGATGGTGGCGGTCACGGCCGCCTGCCCCTCCACGGACACCGCCAGGACGCCGTCGGCCGCGCGGAGAGACACCTCGAAGACCATGGTCTCGTTCTTGGTGAACAGCATGAAGGGCCCCGCTTGCTGCGAGGAGGAACGTCGTTACACCCGAAGCGAATTGACTGAAGTCGCCAGAGAAATACGCACCGGTGTAACCTCCTCGGAGTCGTCCTGGGCCCACGGGGCGACCGTGTTGACGAAGACCCTCCAGGTGGAGAAGCTCATGACGCCCTTCTTGTAGCCGGCCACCTTCACAGTGCTGCAGCTCGCCTCGCCGCACAGCCCGATGAGCACCGGGCCCGCGATGTAGTCCACGTGCACCTGGACGCGCCGGGTGTCGCCCACGCGCATCGGCAGCCCGCCGGGGACCACCACGTCTGCGTAGGCGAGATCGTTAAGGCGTCGATTTCTGACCCTAAGGACCGCGGTTCAACTACCCCGCGATAAAAGCCTTTTTCCACATCATTTTTGGCGTTGTTGCGACTGACCTGGGCCTACGGTGGTGACGTCGGCCGCCTCTGCGGCCGTCTTCAAGGAGGCCACGAGCACCAGGGCCAGGCAGGCCAGCACGCCGATGTCGGTCTTGGGCGCCATCTCGCGGGCCGCGCTCTGCCAAAGTGAGGCAGCTCGAAAGCTGACCACTGATTTAGTACCCCTCCTGATGCCACTCGAGACGCGCATCCTCAGTCCATCCGAGATAAACCGTCAAGTGTAACGATGGAATGATGGCGCGAATGCGTTGCTGTGCGGGGAAGGCTCAATTTGCCGGCTGCGCTCGAGTGCTAGCCCGTAATGGCAATGGTAAAGCTGCGAGGCCACCTTCGTGGCAGGCCTGCCGGGGGGGTTGCCTACCCACGCGGCGCCAGGCGCTCTCCGTGCGATGGGCTGCCTACCACCCAGGCGGATTCAGAAGACCGGTGGGGGCGGCCAAAACTCTAGACGCGATTTGAGCTTCAGAGTCGCTAAATGGGACTCGAACCGAACGAGTGACACCATCAATGGACTGCTCTCCGAACGAGGAATCCATTGGCGGGGTCTCACGTTCGGTTCGAGTACCAGTTAGCGACGCTGAGTCTTAAAACGCGTCCAGAGTTTAGTCCGCCTCCACAGGTCTTGTTGCCCACTGTGCAGGGTCCCTAGAGTCCTAAAGGCCCTAAAGGGGAGATCCGCGAACCGCGTCTTGACTTCTGACCGATTTTGGTGCTCATACTGACGACCAAAATGTCCGCCATGCGCTTCCGCTTCCGGCTTGCGTTTTTAAGATTCGTCTGGCAGAGCCTGAAAACGTCTAAACAGTTTGCATCTGACGTTCAATAACTGTTCAGTTGACTATTTTAGAGAAATGAGGAGCTTTTTAGGCCTGTTCCAAGCGCCGTCAAGTCCCTTGATCTCAAGATGCCTCAAGCAGACGACACAACATCAAAACAAAGCGTCGGTGACGAACAAAATGTCCGCCGTGCGTTTCCGCTTCCGGCGTAGGTTTCTAAAATTCCGTGATGAGCCTCGAAACGTCTAAACTGTCGACATGCGATATTGAAGGGGTCTTCAATCAACTATTATAGAGAGCTGAGGAGGTTTATAGGACTTGTTCGAAGTGCTACCAGGGCTGTAGGCTTCACGAGGCCCCAGCAGACGACACAACATCACAACAAACTATGAGGAATTACGCATAGCACTTTCTTCGAGTATGAGAAGCAAAATCAGAACATTTTTCAAGTTCGCGGATCTCCCCTTTAGGGCCTTTAGGACTCTAAGGGTCCCTTGCCTGCAGGGTAGGCAACCCAACTGACAGATTTGCAGAGTGGGTTGCCGACCCGGTGAGATTGACTCACTTAGCTTTCTCTTTACGTGAGGTGTCCGTTTCGCGGGGCTCCGGGCGTGAAAGTAGGACGTCTTTGCTTCGTACTAAATCATTTATTATTTTGAGAGAACACACTCATAAATAGACATCTTCAATAATTGGTAACAACTCTTAAAACGCGACAGTAAACGAAGGACAAGAGAAAAAAAAGATAAAATGAATAATGGTTTGCCATGCAAGGCAATACGCAGCCAAATTTAATATCTTAGTGATGGCTTTCGAGACCAAAGGAAATAATCAAGTCTGTGTAACGGACTACACAGTCACACAATTTACAGGGCAATTTCATTATGTACACTAGACGTCTCCTCGGGAGACATTGCACAGTAATTCTCCACCACTATGATACAAAGTCGCCTCGATTCGTCCCTCAGTTTTGCTATACTTGCGCTTGGTTGCACCTTCCCGGTGCTTTGTACTAAACAGACTTTACCTCCAACTCGATTCGAGCCACTTATAAATAACAACAATCTTCTTCACTACGCTAGATCACAGTCTTTGTCGCGCGCGATGGCACAGGAATAGAACTATCCTCTTCGGAGATCGGCGGGGTGGGCAAGATCGGCAACACAGGACTTGTCTTCTTTGGATGAGCTTGAGGACCCGGGTCTCGTTCACGACTCGGACTCCACCTCGCTGCTGTCGTCCTGGCCGCTGAGGTCCACGGGCCGCTGCGCCGAGTCCTCCTTCCAGGTCGCCGACGACGAGGAGGACGAGGACGACGAGCTGTCCTGCTTGGCGGGGCCTCTCTGCTTGGCCTCCTCCTCCTGCTCCGTGCGCTTGTGCTTGGTGCGTCTGTTCTGGAACCACACCTTCACCTGCGAGGGGAGGACAGCGTTAGAGTCGTGCTGCTGCACTGTAGGAGTGTCCCCAGTGTCGCAACCGAACGTGTGACCCCACCAATGGCTTCCTCGTTCGGTTCGAGTCCCATTTAGCGACTCTGGAGCTCTGCACGCGTCTTGGACCTTGCTTACCTGCGTCTCGGACAGCCCCAGGGCCTGCGCCACCTGCTTCCGCTCCGCGCCGACGACGTAGTGGTTGTTCTCGAAGGCGTGCTCCAGCTTGAGCAGCTGGCTGGGGCTGAACGCCGTGCGGATGCGCTTCGGCTTTCGGAACGGGTGCAGCAGAAAGCCGGCGAAGTCGGGTCCCGCCACTGTAAAACCAAACAAGTGTGAGCGACGTCTTATCAGTCAATAAAGGGGAATCAGTGTAGTGCGCTATCAGAGTGTTAAGAGGGAGCACAAAGTAGCGAGGCCCCGACCCGCCTATCGGGCAATAAACACAAGCGGGACAGGGCTAAATTGCTAGCCCTGGCCACTACACTGCCTGATTAAAAATTATGAAAATGAGGCGGCGCTTAAACGCGTTTCCGCGGCGCGTTACAGCGGTCGCCTCACTCGCACCGACACGGTTGGCTAACAACCAGGCGCCTGCCGCGATGTTGGATAAGGACGGATAATAGCGACCTTAACGAGCGTGTTTTGTCCGCTTAACTTGTCTAGATCGCAGCAACAACGCGCACCGCGGCGCACCGCGAACCGTTTCCGGGTACGCCGTAAGTACGTACGCGGGCGCACAGTGGGCCAGAGGACCGGTGGAGGCGGCTGAAACTCCAGACGCGTTTTGAGCTCCAGAGTCGCTAAACGGGACCTAGCCGAGCGTGTGACCCCACCAATGGATTCCTCGTACAGAGAGCAATCCATTGGTGGGGTCACACGTTCGGTTCGAGTCCCGCCTCCACCGGTCTTCTGGCCCACTGCGGCTTGTTCTCAAACGAAAGGGTTTCGGTACCAACCTCCGGGGAAGCGGTGGTGCGGGAAGATGCGTCCGTGGCGCGACAGCAGCCACGGGTACAGCGGGTAGGACTCCTTGGGCGGGCCGGGCATGGCGGGGTGGTGGATGGGGTGGTGCAGGCCGTGCTGCAGGCCGTGCTGCAGACCCTGCTGGTGGTGCAGCAGGTGGGGCGGCATGTGCATCATGGGCTCGGGGCGGTACAGGCCCCGCAGCAGGAAGGGTTGCTGGAGGGGCGGGCTGTGCGGCGGGCTGGGGGTGCCCGTCGTGGTGGGGCTGGTGGGCGCGTCGCGGGGCAGGCCCGGCCCCAGGCCCGGCAGCCCCATGGGGTGGTGCAGCAGCCCCGGGTGCAGGGCGCCGGCGCCGGGCAGGCTGGCGGCCTGCTGGAGGCCCTGGAGGCCCTGCAGGCCGAACAGGCGCGCCCGGATGTGCAGGTCGTCGTCCTCGTCCACGGACGTGGCCTCGGGCGAGCCCAGCCCCGAGCTGGACACGGGGGGCGACCGCGGCGACGAGGCCCGGCCGTACGGGTGCGGCGGCGTGGCCTGCCGCGCGCTCAGCGGCGATGTCGCGGACCTCCGGACCTCCGACCGCGAGATGGTGTTGTTGTTGTTGGAGGCCGTCTTGTTGTTGTTGTTGTTGTTGCCGACGATGAAGTCGATGCTGAAGTCAGCCTTGGGCTTGGCGGGGACGCACATCGTGTTCCTTTCCGGAGCGAGAGGCATCATGATACGAATCAGCTGCACATATCACTTCCACACGCTCACTGGACACACACACACACACACACACACACACAAACACAAACACTCGCGCGCGGCGCTCGGCTGCACTAGGACCGCTCGACTCGGACGCCAGCTCTCGACTGGCGAGCGGAGTGGCGGAGGCACTCGGCCGAGGCGAAGCGGAGCGAGGGACCGGTTCCGCGGCCCCCACTCGCAGCCTCCGTCGCGGTCCTGGGGGTGGTGGGGGCACTGGTGGGGGCAGCGGCGGCCAACCACCGCGCCCCTGCCCGGCATGGAGCGCGCCCTGCCCTGGCCTGCCCCACCGCGCCCTGCCCTGTCCGCCGCGGGTTGGGCGGCCGCCGCGTGGCAGGGGCGGGGCCTCTCCGGGGGAGGGGCAGGGAGGGGGAGCACCCCACCACCGAGGGGTGTCGGGATGTTACAACCAGCCCGACCGTTTTGTTCGGGCTAACAATATGGTGCCATTATGCACTTGAATTATGTTGTTTGTTCTTTGATTTACTGGTGGTGAGCTGGTAAACGATGCCTGGCTGCATCTGCATGCTGCTGCCCGACACTTCTCGTTCCAGCTCTCTCTCTCTCTCTCTCTCTCTCTCTCTCTCTCTCTCTCTCTCTCTCTCTCCCTCTCCCCACCGCTCTCTCTAGTTTCTCTCGACTCGGCACACAACACATTATGGAGCTCTCGACGCCTCGATCGCGTCGCCAAGACCAATACAGCGTTTAGATTGGGCTTGAATGGGGCCTGCGGCTCGGCTCGGCTCGGCTCGGCTCGGTTCGGCTCGGCTGGGTGCTGCTCGGTTTCGCTCGACTCGGCACGCGCGTCGAAGCTGTTGCGCCCCTCCGGCCCTGTCACTACGTGTTAATGAGGCCTCTCTCTCTCTCTCTCTCTCTCTCTCTCTCTCTCTCTCTCTCTCACTCTCGCTTGCGTGTAAACATGCAAACCACCATCGTCCCTTCCGATCTGCACTTGATCAAATTAGTGACGCTCTAGAGCTGGAGTCTGAACTGTAGACTCGTTCCACTTTCCCCGCGGTGTTGTACCAGGACTGCTGCTGCTGCTGTGGAATCGGCCGAATAATAAGTCAAGTAGCAAATTGCGCGCCTCTATCCCCGCTTGTTCGGCATCATTGACGAAACGATTACTCGGACGCCTCGTATAAAGCACGCACGCACACTCACACACACGAGTGCAAACACACGCTCACACGCGCGCGCGCGCGCGCACACACACACACACACACACACACACACACACACGCGAAACGAGCACCACTAAATTAGTCCGTTTAAGGACGTAAGGGTGGCGGTCCATTTCAAGAAGGCTTTTCCGAATAAGCGTTGGCCCCGTCAGGCGTCGCCAGACTGCAGCCAGGTCAGGCAGGGCCACGCCAATACTAGCACAATAGCTTTTATTGCCCCCCGACCGGGGAGGGGCAACGGCACCTCGCCTCCGGAGCTGGGCTCCGATGAGCAGCCGAGCAGTTTTGCTTGTCCGGCCAATCGGCTGGAATTTTTCTAAGTCCGTGTTCATAGTAAAATGACAATTTTTGACAACGCTACCAAAATGCTTGTCACGAAACGGTTCACATTTCAGTGTAGGTGTGAAATGCAGTTTGTCCTGCTTCGTCAAAATGATCGCTCGAATTCAAATTTTGCATGAATAGATCCAGAATTTTGTCCCGCGTGCATTGGTCATCGTTGCAAACATGTCAAGCGACGCGTTAGAAATTTGACTCTCTGGACTAGGCCAGGTAGTCGCCCCTTGTCTATTGTGTCGAGGGCCTCATTCCCTGCCGGCGGCTCGTCGCACCGAAGTGAGGATGGTGACAGGAGGATTTATTGCCCCTCAACCCCAGACATAAATTTTTTGAACGGCCCGTTTTTCAGCGTCTAATCGGACAGAAATGGTTTTCTCGCAAAATCGCGGTTCGAATGGTACTTTGAAAAATAGTCCTGCGACAATTTTGACCGAAGCTTTGACCTCCCGTTTTGCAAAAGTTGGAGATGGCTCCGCACTGGCTGCAGTCCGGTCCCAGACGGCGCGCGGCGGCAAGGGTCTGGGGCTCGCTTTGTTCCCCGGCCGGCTACCTGCAGCGGGGGCTGCTTCGGAAACAACTCGGCGCGAGAAAGACAAGACATCGCTTGTCTCTCTCTTCTGTTGAAGCGACTGCAAATTTACTTGATTTTCGGACCCAGGTTCTGGTTGAACCGTTTGTTCCAGCGACTTGGAACTTTTTGCAATCAATAGAGGAAAGTCCTGGCTGTGAGGTAAAGGTTTTTCAACCTCCTCACTCTTGTAGTTTAGTCGCTGCGCACTTCACAAAACTGTCCATTTTCAAGGCGTTCCAGGAGTCTTCCCTTGAACCCGATCACCGCGAAATTTCTTTACATCATACCTGTGGTTGTCTTCTACAAGCATGCGCAATTTTACTATGCTCCTCCCATTGGTTCTCCTGGAACCTGGGTCCGAAAATGGCGAAAAACGCACAATTTTCGAACTTGTAGGCATCGTTACGCCTAAACTAAGCGTCACAGAGGAAAACCGCTCGGCAGGATTAGAAAACACACCCAACACTATCAAATGCCGAAAAAAAAATTTTGCCACCCGTACGCCCTTAAAGCGGTGCGCGCGGCCACGGCCAATTTAGCGCTGCGTTATTTGCAGTCCGTGCTATTCGCAGCTATTCGCAGGGCGACACGCGGCCATTTCCCACGCCGTTGGAGCCCGCGACCCAATAAAGAGCATTCAGCGAGAGAGTGGAGCCGAAAAGAGCGGGTCGTCCCCTCGATCATCCACCGTCAAATGGAGCAACGGCGGTTCATCCAGCGTCAAGTGGGGCTCCAAGCTGACTCGACAATCATCTGAGTGTCGTCAAATGGGGCACCAAAACGTTGATGGCTCGAGGAGTATCGTCAAATGGGGCACCATAACGTCGTTGACGCAGGAAGTATCGTCAAATGGGGCACCAAAACTTCGTTGACTCAGGAGGTGTAGTCAAGTGGGGCACCAAAACGTCGTACTCAGGAAGTATCGTCAAATGGGGCACCAAAACGTCCTTGACTAAGCACGTTACCGTCAAAAGGGTCTCTTCGACCCGACATCTCCCGAGTACCGTCAAATGGGGCGCCACCGTGAAACCGCCACGTGCAAGTCTCAGCCGGCCCATTGTGTGCGATGCCGCGCTGTTTTCAGGTATTTTCCGACTTTTGTCTGGCGTGGCCGGGAGAGCGGTCCCGGAGACACAATACTGGATTGATTGAGTTCACGGGGGATCCCTCTTCCCAGAACACCCGTGTCTGCTCTGCCTCCTCCAGGTCCAGCTGGCGCACCCCACGGGACTGTGGCCCCGTGCCAACCCCCCTGGCATTGTCTCCAGTGTCGCCAACCTCGGTCGCTGATACCCCTCATTTTCGCACTACTTTGTCTGTGGCGGCTTGCACTGGACCAAGGCACCGCCACCCACACTGTAAACGACCCCGAACAGGCAGGCAGTCGGCACGAAGCCTGAAAAAGCAACGGAGTCGATGCCTTTGGGTGAAAGGTGGGGAAACTTCGCGCGGACCGTAAAACGTTTCAACAGTAATGTCCAAAGTGAGAGCTAAAAATGGAAACACTCGAAAACCTAGATTTCCACGCACACACGCACACTCCCCCACATCACACACTCAACCCGCTTTGACCGGCCATCCGCATGTTTCGCTTGTCAACCCCTCATCCGTGCAGAAAATTACGATATTTTTATGACGCCAAGCGCATCGAGGGAGAGAGAGACGAAAGAGGAAGAAAAAACACATCTCGATACACAGGAAGGAAGCGAGGAGGGGAGGGAGGGTCGCGATTGGTGCGTGGCGGGAAGGGGGAGGGTAAGGGGAGGGCACCTCATAGGAAGGCTCCATTCGATTGGCATTACAGGCTGCCTGAAACAACGCTGGAAATTTCACTTGTGTTGTGGTCGACGCTGCGACGCATGGCATTCCTCCATTTACAACGCTCGCCTCATCAAAATATTTATAGGGGCTGTGAGGTGCGTGAAGCGGGTCGCGAGATGCTCGCTGGCCGACACCACAGGCACCACAGGCAAGCAACGCGATTCCAACCTCCGAACGGCAGGGGCCTCCTCAACCCTTCATTCGTTCCTCATTGATCACCTGGATGACAACAAAGGCACAGGTAGACGCCAAGTCGGGGGTCGACGCGCCACGACGCGCCACACACACCAACGAAAACAAGGAGGACTCAGTGGACTAAACGACAGCCACTCACTATTATTTTTGACGCAACGCTATAAGGCCATGGGAATCGGTGCAGCTGGGCTGCCCCCCTATCACCTGCGAAAACACGGCGACCTAGTGTGGCAGCGGGGGTGTTTTTCACTGTTAGTCGGGTCACACTGTGTGTAATAGCACGCGTAATAGTAGCGTAACGAAATTCCCCAATTTTTGCCTATTTTTGGGGTGTTTTTAGCTAAATCCTGATTATTTTGAGGTGTACAGCGCGTAGCAGCTTAAAAGTTGGGTTTCGAGACTTACTCCCTCGGCTTGGACTCT